CATCAATCACTTATATTTCCAACTAACTTAACTGCTATTTCCTAAGTATCATATTTCACCCCTTTATATTTCGTACACTCTTCTTCTGCACATAGTTTCTCCATTTTTAAGGTTACTTCTTCTCTCAACTACATCTTTATATTATATTATATAAATATTTATTTATAAATGTACATATATGGTTGTCTGTATTTTTTGTGATTTATGTAAAATTTTGATGAATATATATATTTTTTTAATTTACCAGATCGAAATCTACCAGAAATGGCGGTAGACGGAACATACGTGAAACTAACCGAGGATCAGAATTCCTTACAGAATGTCACGCCCGGTGAATTAAATCAAGCCATCGATATCGAAAAGGTACATATATAAAATTATATAAATCATCAATTTCAGATTTCATATTGGTAGATAAAATTAATCTACAATTTTTTTAATTTAATTAATGAAAGATTAGATAAATTTCGAAATTAATTACAGTTTTTTTTTTTGTTTGATTGAATTAAAAATTGTAATTGTTTTACTGACAAATGTGTTAAAAATAGCTGACTGCTCGCAGATGTGAGCAATGTGGACAAACGTTACCTGCATCCTACACTCCGCCGGCCGACGAAGATTGGACTACCGGCATTTTCGGTTGCTTTGAAGATACCGATAGTGGTAAAGATCCATTTTCCAAAATGTTATAATTCAGTGACGAAAAAATTGAATTTTTTTTTTATTTCGAAACAAATTTTTGTATTCCAAATTTTGAAATTCTGGGTTTCCGGTTTTTTTAGGATCCGAAATGGAACTAGTATTTTGCTTTCGATTTTTTTTTCTTTCTCTTCTGAAAGTGTTAATTACTATCCAATTTGGTCCGATTTTCACTCATAAATGATATATTACTCACCGTGCTATCATGAAGGTGAAAATCAGACATATCGGATCGAAATTAGCACTTTCGAAGAATTTCATTTTTTTTGTAAGTGAAAAACTAATTCCAATTCCGTTTTTTTTTTGTAGAAACCGAAAAGTGGAATTTCATAAATTGGCAAGAAAAAAATCGGTCCATACCGAAACATTCGGATCAAAATCAACAGATTTTGAGAAAAAAACCTATTTTTTAGTCAACTTAAATCTAAAATGCACCATAATAATAATAATAATAATTATATCGTAAGTGCAATTTTTGAAATTATTTTAGAAAATAAAAAAATCGAAAAGGAAATCGGAATCTCATATATATTTCAATTTTGATAAAAAAAAAAAAAATTGAATGAAAAAACGTTGTTCCAAAATTGGAAAATTTCATATCGAAATATGTGGAAATCGAAAATTTTCGTTCCAATTTCCAGCCCTAGTTCCACCTTCACGTAAACTATCCAATGGGCTGCTCTATTGTGTATGTATAGGGTTGACTGGACTATTCTGCCCCTGCGTGCTGTTCGGGCGCAATGTGGCAGCGTTCAACGACGAGATAACTCCGGAGAGGGCGTGTGTGGGGCACGCGATATGCATTGAAGGTGGGATAGCATTGGCGGTAACTACAGCAGCGTGCAGCGGAGTGATTGATCCGGATACCGCTTGCCTTTTAACGGAGGGTTTGCTGTTTGCTTGGTGGGTTTGTGCTATCTACACCGGCATGGGCCGTCAGTTGCTCCAACGTAAATATCATCTTAAG